CGTTTAAACAGTGTTTGTTTGGAACAGCATATGTCATGGCAGAACTTAAGATAATCCGTAATACTGGTGATTTAGTCACTAATGTACTTTCATAAAATAAATCCCAGTTAGTATTTTTTTAACACGCACCTTAGATTGAGTAGGTTGTCAGATGTGTAGCATCTTTGTTGTGGTTTCATAGACAGGCGTGAGAAGACTTTAATTCATGTTTTGCCGTATATTTTTGGCAAAACACGGACAATACAGTGATTGGAGTTAAGTATCGGTGAACGTCTATGTGTTCCATATACTCCTTCGTCAACACCAATACACAACACAATCTGGCCCATTGACCAAAAATGGAATGTGGCGAAGATGCGAATGGAACGAAAAGAAGCCGTAAGAAATGTAAAACACTGACAGAAGAAAGATGCCGTGAAATCTGAACAGCGACAAAAAATGGGATGCATAACCTCTGAAGTCGTAAATCAATTAAAGTGTACAGAAAGAAAGTATGCAGTTGGATGTGAGACAGGATCACGGATACTCCTTCCGAAGTGGGAAGGACCATATACCCTGTCACTGAGGGACACGATCCTGTAAACGCCATCAGAAGGTGAGACAAACGGAAATGTGTTAATGCCATCCAATACAGTGGGACAAGCCACCTGATAACAAGACTCAACAAGAGTGGATAGCATTCAGAACGTCAGAGCTGTCATGCTCGAAACTATCTGACGGGCGTACGAGTGTGGCGTGTGCTACTGACAACACTTATCAGTAGTATATGAATGAAGATTAATAGGAGGTAGTCAAATTTGGAAACAACAATTTAAGTTATGAGCTACACTCCTACCAATGAATCATTGACAAACTAAATTCATGTCATGTTTTACCACATATATCAATTGATTTTGAAAAAGTCCCAGAGATTCTCCTGGAGAAGCTGTAGCTTACAACTCATTGACACACTGACTGGCCCTATTCAGATGAGGTAGTTACTTGGAGCTCTAGGAGTAAGCTGTGACCAGTAGGCTGCATCAGATTCAAGGCGAAGACAGTTACTCATCGAAGACACTTCTAAATGGTCACGCTATATCGCCAATTAGCAGAAGTTGGAATTCAAGATTTCGTCATCACACTGGGTCCCAGTGGCTTAATGGTCAACGAGCTCGCTTGCCTCTTAACCTAGAGGTCCTGTCTTCGAACCCCGCTGGATGCGTACTTCTGAGGAAGTACAGCCATATACGAAGCGGTTGTCCAAAACTCTAATGGTTTTCTAACCCGTGTCGCCTAATGATGAGTCCTCCCAAACTTTCAGAAAGTTCCATATTAGTTCGTTTATTAGATATATCACACAATGAATGAAACATTATTATTTACTGGATGACAAAGTTTCGAACAATATTTATTACTGTTCATAATCATTTCATCAGTTATAATCACACGACTTCGAAAATTGAGTTTTATAGTTTTCTTTGTTTTCTCCTATTTGTCGTCGTTGGGGTAGTAGAATTTTCCAGATATCAGGGACAGGTGATGAATTATTCCTAATACACGTGTTGATTTGCAGTTGATTCGATAAACAAAGCTTCTTTTATCAATCTCTCCCTTCATCTTGCTGTTACATAAGATTTTAAAATTGTAATCTTATACCATCCTATATTATAGATGGTTGTGTGTAATTGCATGCAGTGAGTGCTATAGCTGAACTATTCTCCAGTTATCTTATCTTATTTGGGTCAACTAATCTAGATTTCGCTGCTAGGTTTTCATGCTCGGCTAGTCTGACTGCCCCTGTTTTACTACTTCGATACATCTATGTATTTGACCTGACAATCATTTCAGGAGGGTATTAGATAAACTAAACTGTTTTGTTTAACTGGCTCCACTGGCAGGATCCTTCAACCGACAAAGTTTGTTTCTAATTGATTTTGTGGGGCGGTTTGAATGCCAGCCACTTTTATTCCTGCCTGCCTTGCTACGAATTCTGAGTAAGGTGGTTTCTGAGGTTCCACCTTTGTATAGAATTGCTACTGATGATTTAGATTCCTCATTGTTGGTGTTGTCATTATATTGCGCATGTTTGACATGCATGTCGTCATTAATATTATTATCATTATCACTATCCCTACTATCATTATTTATTTTATTTTTACATTTCCCTACATACTTTCTGACTAATTTATCAGGGTAATTATCAAGTTTCAAAGCTTCTCATATATGTATTATTTCCTGTCTTAGATCTCCCTTGGTACTACTTAATTTGTGTGCTCTATTACTTAAATATTACACCTATCCTATTTCCACTGAGATAGGATGGGATGATAGGAAGTCCAAGTATCTGTTTTGAATGTGTGGGTTTCTTGTAAACACATTAGCTTGTTTAACTTCCCATCTTCTTTCCTATTTACGTTAAAATCTAAAATTGGAAGTCCCCCTTCCAAATTCTATTACAGCTATGAGAAATAGGAGAAAACAAAGAAAACTATAAAACTCAAGTTTCAAAGTCGTGTGATTACAAATGATGGTGTGATTATGAACAGTAATAAATTTTGTTCGAAACTGTGTCATCCAGTAAATAGTCATACTGTTTCACTCACTGTGTGATACATCTAATAAACAAAACAATACGGAATTACTTACTACCACAGTCCCCAAGTTTTACGCCCATATATTAATTCAGAAAGTTCATCTTCCGATTTTTCGTCATCACACTAGGTCCCAGTGACTTAATGGTCTACGAGGTCGCTCGCTTCTTAACCTAGTGGTCCTGTGTTCGAACCTTGCTGGGTGCGTACTACTGAGCAGTCCCAGACTAGGAGGAGGCGGTTGTTCAATACTCTCAGGTATTCCAATGGTTCTCTAACCGACTTCAGCTCATAATGAATCCTCCCAAACATTCAGAAAGCTCACCTTTCGATTTCCTAAGCAAAGTGAGATTTTATACATTTATTCCCCTTGATGAATTTGCATAGATGAAAGCTGTGTTAAATGAGTCGTTAAGACTCAAAGTTGACAACTACCAGAAAGATAAGACAGATGCGATCGAAAAACGTATCACAAACACACTGAGAGATCTGCTAAAGAAGAAATTGATTGACAGCAATACGTACAATGATTTGAAACCCCGAGGGTCCCGCTTGTCACACATGTATGGCCTTCCAAAGATACACAGAAAACAAGTCCCCCTGAGTTCCATACTTTCGACGATAAACTTCCCCAACATAGGGTGGCACTTTGGCTTGCGGAGAAGTTGGAACCTATTCGTCAAAGGCTAGGCGGGCACACTATGAAAGACTCATTTCATTTCTCTGAAAGTGTGAACAACATGAACGTTTTAAATAAGTTCATGGTGTCATTTGATGTAGCCTCCTTGCAGGCTGTGCCAAATACGTGAAGGATTGATTCGCGAAGAGCAGGCTGGGTTTCGTTCAGGTCGTGGATGCATTGATCATGTGTTCACCCTTCGTCAGTTGTTGGAACACTGTCACACGTATTGCAGGCCAACGATCGTTGTGTTTCTTGATATTAGGGCTGCCTTCGATTCGTTGGACAGAACTGTGCTCTGGAACTGTCTGTTAGAGAGAGGTGTACCTGAGAAATTTGTTAACATCTTGAAAGCCCTATACAGAAACACCTCAGGTAGAGTGAGGGCATACAACCAACTATCACCACTGTTCCCAACCAACAGTGGGGTTAGACAGGGTTGCCCAATCTCTTCATTTCTCTTTAACTTTGCCATCGATGACATTCTGGAGTCAGCTCTGAAGGATGTGCGTGAAGGTGGTGTAGATCTGCTACCTGGAGATAGACTTTTCGACTTCTAGTATGCAGACGATATCGTCTTACTGTGCGATAGCATGCAGGCTGCCCAAATCGCACTTAATCAGTTGGCGATCAGTGTCTGTAAGTATGGTATGTGCTTTGCGCCGTCTAAGTGCAAAGTACTGTTACAAGATTGGCAGGAGCCAGTACCTGCACTCACTCTTGCAGGTGAACGGCTTGAACTTGTTGATAAGTTTGTGTACCTGGGTAGTTGTGTGAGTGCTGGCGGAGGGGTGACGGATGAGATTTCCAACCGTATAATGAAGGCTAGGGTGGCATACATCAACTTGAGCCACCTCTGGCGCCGTCGCGACGTTAGCCTGGCTGTCAAAGGTCGGGTATACAATGCTTCGGTGCGGGCTGTCCTGCTCTACGCCTGTGAAACCTGGCCTCTCCGAGCTGAGGATGTGCGGCGACTCTGCGTGTTCGATCACCGTTGTCTCCACAGGATTGCTTGCGTTCGATGGATGGCATCATCGCGTGAGTAATTCTGAGGTTCGGCGGCGTGTGTTTGAACACAGTGGAGATCACCATTCATTGAGTGTCGTCATTTGGAAACACCGACTCCGGTGTCTTGGACATGTGCTGCGAATGTCACCCCAGAGGCTTCCGTACAGGTCTCTGTTCGCTAGCCCTAGGACGGGATGGAAAAGGCGGAGAGGTGGTCACCCCATGATGTGGCGTCGTGGGATGAAGGATTTTTGTGCTAGATTAGCATCGGTTGGTGTGTCACGACTCCCTGGTTGGGGTCCGCGAGATAGCTCAAATCGATGGCTCGAAACGTTATCGGATATGGCCAAGAATCGTAATCATCAATGGCGAACGTGTTGCAATTTCCTTCTTTCTTCCCTTCCCGATGATAGTTAACGAACACTATTTGAACTTGTTAAGCATGAATGTCTTCCTTCCAGATGAAGTTCTTTATCCGTTCTCTACTTTTATATATATATTTCCCTTCTTTCTTTTTTTTCTTTTGATCTATGTTGTTTTATTATTATTGTGTGGCGCATCCTTCTTTGTGCCATATTGTACCAAGTTTTTTTATGCGTTTAAATAAATAAATCAACAATGATTCCAATCAACGAAACTATTGAGATCACTTGTTAGCAGTTTGATCTTCTCCCACTCCCAGAGTCGGAATTCAAACGCCTACTGCTTCTGTGTATGAAGGTGAGATTATTTTCAAAAACTGCTTTATAACATCATATAATACATTTGAATTCTGTAGAAATCTACTTCTTGTTATTACAAAGAAATTTACCAACAGAAAAAAATGCATAAACACATTTGAGGAGTTAATGTATACAAAATAAAACAAGTGTGTGTGTGTGTGCGTGCGCGCCTCCCTCCGTATTGCTGCAAAGACAATCCCAGATGATGCACAGATGATAAACTGCCAGCCCTTCACTATTATATAAAACAATGACGACTCATTCCGCGTAAATTGTAATAGAATTGTAAATACATTCTTGATAATTGTATGGCTATAATAAAAATAAAATAAATACAAGATTACCATGTAATCTATCTAAGCTGTTCACTTCATGACTAAATATTTTGCATAAAACCATATACTACTTGCTATTTATAAGTAAATAAAACATTTTATGGTTTTCAAGATTTTTTAATTCAATTTTAGATTTTTCCCGTCTATTGATTTGACCCAAAATGCTCGGTGTCAGGTTGACATGTCTGTCGGCTTCTCGTGCAAATGTTTTGACAACGTCTGAGCAAGTAATTAGAAGTTAATTGGTGAATGGTGACTAGCGGCAGCGGAATCCACGATGCACATTTCGTCCTATTTGGGACTTGTCAGCTACTGGATATACCTGCATTACATGCCCAGACATGGTAAAGCATCTGACACAAGAAGCCGACACGTTAACCTGAGACCGAGCACTTCGGTGTAATCATTTGACGGGAAAATCTAAAGTTGAATTAAATAATTAATATGACCCGTTGCACAAGTGGTGCTACACCTGGCCCAAGTGGTCTAGTGGATAACGCTTTGGCGTTCGAAACTATGGGCACTGGGTTCGATCCTTAGTGGGAACATCGTCCCTCACTGCGGAATGCAGGTGCGTCCGGATGAAGAGTCCGAAACAAGACGATATGGGCATGTTGGATCCCACTGCTAGTCAACATCCGCCAATTAATTCTTTAAGATGTATTCATTGGGACTTGATTTGTTTCAAATATGTTCAGGGAGTGATATTCTCTCATCTCGAAACATGAAGCTCCTAGATTATATCTTGATGGGTTCACGGGTACGTGCAAGTGAAGATTTCAAAGTTAGGGTGAAACAGCTGTTCATTACGTCCCTACAAACTAACCCTTGAAAATTAATTTGATGCTCCCTGGTGACTGACCATAGGACAGATTTGCCTGAAGTACAGATGAGAAGTCGTGATCAGTGAGGTCTGCTAGCTTGGCTGTGACCACCAATACTCACTGATGAAATTCCCTGATTGTGGCACTAAAATCGCCAAATGACAGCAGTTAGAACTTGTGGTGTTGCCATTAGATTCCTTTCCAGTAGATAAATGGTTAAAAGGAGATCACCTCGCAACCTGAAGGTCGTAAGTTCATTCCTCGTTAGGATCATGAACTAAGAGGGAGGCAATATCAATCCATGATCAGATTTCAGTAAAAATTCCATACAAAAATTCATCCTAATGAATTTAAACAAATTGATAGCAACATACGGCGCACACCTTACATCTTCCAACTGTTCGACCTCTCATTGTTTATGAGGCTAGCTAACCTTTATGCGAACAGATTCGAATATTTCAACTAACTAATGGGTTGTCATGAATTTACCATGGATAGTTTAAGTGTAAAAGTAACAGCCTCTTTGTACGACTTTGGAATCTCATATGTATATAAGGTAGACTAGACCCTCTTTACTTCAATTCAGTATAAAAGTGGAATTATCTATGAGTCGCTTCATAAGATCTTTTAGCACCTTTGTGATTCACTTTCCAGTCGAATCAGTTACGTCTCGCCAGGAGTTTGTAAAATCGAGTTCATCTAGGAAAGGTAGTCTTCTTTATTATTATTTACTATGCCACTCGAAATTTATTCAGTCGTAATATTACTGTTTAGTCACTCTCTCTCTCTCTCTGGGATGTTTCAATGATTTCCGGTGTTCTTTCAACAACACTCTCAACTGTGGAGTTGGTGATGCAAAATATATTCATTAATCATGACAATTGAATTACTTCTTTTCAATCTACCTCTGCTATCGATTTGCTGATTGAGTAAACCCTCAATCGAGACCCAGTGGCCTGGTGGTCTACAAACACCCCCTGTATCCAGGAGTCCCTAGGTTCAAACCCTGGCAGTGGATGCGTATAGATGAGGATTACAAAACTCGACTGACAAAACACCGGACTGTCTAATACTGCCTAATGGTTTTCCAATGGTTCTCTAATCCATATCAGCTCATTCTGAAAACTAAAACGAGTTAAAAGGAGAACGAGTAGAATGCTGATCGATGAATTAAACACTCACTTGAATAATATTCATTCCATTTACCAATAGCTGAAGGAAATCTCAACGGAATCGGATAGAAATATTCCGGCTTTACGTGGGCATTAAAATGTAACAATTTAGCGATGGGATATTTTATTAGTGAAGCTTTCTCAACTTCATTGAATTCTTGTTGATTCTGATCACTGAAAGTAAATTTCCATACCACTGGACAACGTTCACGCAGGGAGAATGCACTCAGCTGAATATTCCATTCACAAGGGATTTCATATAACCAACGCTTATTTTGACTTAACATAGCATTGATAACATCCTAGAGCATGAAAATATAAATATGAAGTTTATAAGTTGAAATAAAATTCAAAGCAGAGTTAAATAAAAGTTTAAAATTAACTAGTGAAAAGTACTTGACTTTACGATATCCTGATACATTAGCAGAAACACAGTTTTTTTGTTCAGCGAAGAAATTTCTTTTCATTTCCAATTCAACGGCTAAATATATGAACAAGTTAAAGGAACACCCATGGGATCGCCAATATCAGGTTTGATTGCAGAAGCAGTCATGCAAACACTCAAAAACATAATTCTACCAAAGATCAAACCCAAGATTTGGATACGTTACATCGAGGACACATTTGTAATAATCAAAAGAAACGAGTTAGATAAAACTCGCAACTTAATAAACAACGTCTTCAACGACATCAAATTCACAAGAGAGGAGGAATCCGAGAACAAAATACCATTTTTGGACGTCTTAGTCAGGCGAACAACTACAGGAGAATTAGAAACTCAAGTTTATAGGAAATCAACTCACACAGACCAAATCCTAAATTACAACAGCAACAGTCCAATAACACACAAAAGGAATTCCATACAAACACTATTCAAGAGGGCCAGCCAGGACTCATCACAGCACTTCCACCTTAAGGAAAATTGAAGAAGGAAATCTCATGAACGTCTTGTAGAAAAATGGATATCGATGGAATTTCATCAAGAGACATACATCCCCCAGCGAACTTATCAAATCAAAGGCACCCATGGAAAGCACAAAGAAAATTGCCTAACCAATATAAAGGACATCTCGGAAATCACTGAAGGACTCTTTAAACCTGTAGGAAATGTGGTCCCGCAAAAACCAACAAAATCACTTAACTCAGCTCTATGTCAACCGAAAGACTCAACAACGAAAGAAGATAAAACCAACATCATCTACAAAATAAACTGTAACACGTGCGAAAAACAATACATTGACCAAAGTGAACGATGTCCCATTCGTCTTCGTACCTATAAACATAAGCTAGCCGTCAAAAGACATGACATCCACTCCCTCATATTGCCTCACTGCATACAGGCAGCCACGGACATCACTTCAACTGGAACAACGTTCAGATATTAAACAAAGGAAACACGAAAAATGCCAGGGGATTTTTAGAAGCTTGCCTGGTATTCCAGTGATTCATCAACAAACATGGAAAATATAGTGTTGATAAGATGAAGCACAGAAGAGTAGAGCGAAAACCTGTCTTTCTATAGCTTGTCTTCAAAGATGACGATACTACTAGTAGAATAAAATGCAGACTGAACATTGCCTTGAAAAGAACATATCTAACCGTCAAGCTTGTATGTGTTTATCAAACGACCAGTTGTTTAATACAGTCAAAAGTGGACAGACTTCCACCTCATGTTACCTCCCTTCATCTGCCTCTACCAATTTACACGTATATTGGCTCAAGAGAGAGAGAAGAGGGTTACTGACTACATTTCTCAATGCATACCAAAAACCTGAGACCAAATGGCCCACAAGCATTAAACAGTGTGACTACCTGCCATCTACAGGACACTAGCCATGTTGTGGACAACCTAAAGGCGTTCAAAATAATCAACAGATAAAAGAAACCTAACTCGCTTCGTTTTGCTGCGGCAATCACCATCAAATGGCTAAAACCAAATCTATGTACGCAGGAAGAGACAGTGTGAATCTTGTACTGCCTTGGTGATAACAAAGCATACAAATTTCATCAAGTTATCTTCTGTCTTGTTTAGAAACCTTGATTTTTACGTCTAAACATGACTCTTTTTTGTCTATTTTATAAAAACGTGTTTTTCTGTGGTTACGTAACCTGCTACTTTTAATACTCTTGGATTGGTTAATACTTGAATTATCACAGTTTCTGCCTAATCGGCTACAGGCAGTGCCTGGTTAAAACGCTCTTCAGGAGAGATAGGGTATTGTGTTCAGAAGATAAGATCAAAGGGGAACTCGCAGACATCGAAAAGAACCTTATTGAAGGCGGATATCCTCGGAATTTCACATCAAAATATGGGATAAATAAACCACTTAAACTGAAACCCTAAATAATTGAAAAGAAATCCATTTTTATCTGTCAAGCGTACAGAGGCGAAGAAGTATCTATAAGAACGGAACACAGGACTAAAGGTGCACTGGAAAGAGCGTTTCCAGCCTCTGGACTGATTCGACTTTACAACACAGTATGCTCGCCAACATTCCCCCAACCATATATTCATGTATTTTAATTGAATTTTTTGACTTTCCCGTCGATTGATTGGAGTGAAGTTCTCGGTCTCAAGTTGACATGTCGGCTTCTTGTGCAGACAAATCAAGGTACTGATAAGATTTCGTTTGTATGCAAGAGTAACAAACGATTTAAAAGGAGTGCATTGACACCAACCCATAACTTCTTCCGGAGAACACCCCTCTGAACACTGTTATCTTGCCTTCTTGTTAACATGACAACAAGAAACAATAAGGTGTTGTCTTTTCCGTTCTCAAATATGAACTGAATGTTCTGGTCAGCCATACTCTACCTTTGGAGAAGTAGCTAGGCATCGATTTTATCAGTGTACAAGACAAAAGTACCATTCATATATCTTCCGCTGAAGGAGAGTTCGTCGATTACGTTTTTGAGCGGACGATTCCCTAATTTTGGCATAAACCTGTCCTCTAAGAGAGGACCTAGAGAAGAGGACATTGCTACACTCCTCCCGCACTTGACGGTAAAATTCATTGTTAAACGGAAACTGCACATTCATCGTACAACACAGTAGCAGTTCCCTTAGTGTTAGAGGTGATACATCCACGTGGATATCACTTTCTATAAGAGATTCACAGATGAAGTCGACAGTCTCTAATAAAGAGACATTGGTGGACAGCGAGTGGACATCTATACAGATCATGGTTTTATTATTGATCTTCTTATCTCTTACTTTGTCTGCAAGTTCAATCGTTTCCTTTGAGCCACTTCTACTCGCGGTGGTTTGTCTGCCAGCCATCTTGCTATTTCGTGATATGGTGAGTTAAACAAATCCATTATTGGTCCTAAAGGCATAAGCCATTCGATAATTTGAGGAGAAATAATATAATTGGATTCCAGAGCTTTTAGTACCTTGGAATACTTTTTTTCTCGACTTTCTCTGCATCATCTTTGTCGCTGGTGGTGGGGTGACATAATTGATATAATTACTCAAAAGTGGCTTTAGAAGTAAAAATAAAAATTGTAAATTACGCGGTACGCAACGGCACAAAGGAAGAAATTTGATAAGGTTAAAATTGCTCTTGAGTGAGGAGAAAGGTGATAGTTGAGGGTGTGAAATGTACAGATGGAACATATGAGAGTGATAATAGTGAATTAATTATTAAAGTAAAAGCAAACTAAAAGTAAAGTTAAAAATTAAAAACAATGAAAAAAATCAAAAATTGTTTTACAGGGAACGATTAGTGAAGAGGTTAAGACCACGGTAGAATAAGAGACTGGACAAGCATTTTCTGTATACACAGTTTGGGGTTGTATCGACGAATTACCAAAGACTCCTCCATACACAAAAGCTGAAACCTGACTCCCTTCACACCATTTGGTCTTACCTTGTAGATGATCTTGAAAGACGACTCCGGTCGAGCTAAGTGGCTTGAGTTCACCAAATGCTCAAGAATTGAGCTAGTAATTGTCTTGCATTGTCGTTTTGCTTAGCATGCCGGATAATATTCAGAGATGCGTTTGGGAAGTGTGCGCTTTGTGCGGGCGGCCAATATAACTAGCTCCACACAAACAGGTGAATTTATTAACACACACTGAAGTGGCCCAAAATGGCGGCAGTTTATCCTTCACACATCCGTTGATCAATTGTCGGCTGTAGGAATTCATACGTAGCTCAGCCATAAAGAAGGCTTTCTTAAGAAGGCCTGGAGGTGTCAGGTTACGGTTTTTTTTATTTGGTGTAGGCGCTGGCAATCCCTAAATACAACGCCGAACGCTATATACAGAAAACGTTTGTCCAGTCTTTTATTTTACCCTGGTATTAATATCTTCACTAGTCGTTCTCTGTAAAAAATTTTGATTTATTATTTTTTTTTCAACTTTTAATTTTACTTCTAGTTTGCTTTTGCTTTATTATTTAATTCACTCTTATATCAATCTCATATGCTCCTTTTGTGTATTTTCACACCCTCTTCACACTTGTTAAATTGACACTCAACTACCGCCTTTCTTCTCACTCAAGAGCAATTTTGACCTTATCAAATTTCTGACTTCATTCCACTGAGTACCTCGTAAGTTACAACCTTTAATTTCCACTTATAAAACCAATTCTGAGTAATTACAACAATTACATCGACCCTGCCCCTCCTATTACTCAGTAATAGACTACTCTACGTGTTTTTGGTAAATATAAATACAACTATACAGCCTGTAAAGATGATTTCGTCGATAAAGAATCCTTCCAAATGTCAGGCGCTTGACTTTACTTTCAAGCATCGACGTGACTTATTTGAACTAGTTAACTCGCATGATCCCTGTAGCATAGATGGCACGGAAATTGAAACCAAATTAAGCATTAAATACCTTGGATTAGTTTTTTCCTCTGACCTTTCATGGTCATCCCATATCTTATCTATCTCTAAGAAAATGTTTCGTCTTACCTTCTACATTAAAAAGTTAAGACAATCAGGTATCAACCAACCTTTAGTTTTGCAATTTTTAAAATCCTGTATTTTACCTATTGTACTCTATTGCTCTCCATTAATCTTTCCTGGGCTTCTCAAGAAAGGCTATATCATATTACGAAGAGTATTAAATGCTGTGAGTAGAGCTTGTGGTATGCCACTGCATGAGCTCGCTAATACTATAGTCGAGAAGCATATAAATTCCTGTACGAAATGGGCAGAGGCTATAATGTCAGACCCTCTGCACCCCCTTTATTCACACCTGTCCCCTTGTATCTCATCAGGTAGGACGAGAAATCAATATAAAAAGATATATGCTCGTACTACTAAGTATAGAAATTCTACAATACCCTATT